GCTTAATATTCTTCTCCCTGGTTTATGAGGAAGCATGGCTATTGTTATAATGTGATACTGTTAATGCACGTTACAACAGCTTGGTTAATAAACTGCTTAGAATTCTTACACGTGTTGTATTTCTGTGTTGGCAAAAGCCCAAAGTGGAAGACCAGCTAAAATTTTGTTTTTGAATAAGGAGGGGATATGTTAGAACTTGTATCAGGAATTAAGGGAAACTTTCACAATGTGAAGACAGAGATAATAACCTCAACCAGGCTGAAGCCTCCTAAGGTCTTCTAAAAAGTGTTTTTATTGCTATCCATCTACCTGCATTCATCTTGCTTTCCCTATGAAAAAAACCTGACCTCACTATCTAACGAAAAACATTTTTTTGCCTTGAGCTTCACTTTCAGATAGCAGAAGAGGAAATCTTAAAGTGACACTAAACTCAAGAGTTAAATCTTAAAAATACATTCAAGTATCTTCACTATTAACAAAAATGTATCTTATTTGTGTATCACTCGGCTGTAGATCCTCCAATCATCTCTGAATTGGTGCTGACACTGTCCTTCCTTCTGGAGAGGGGCTACTTTTCTTTCCCATGGTCCCTGTGTGTGTTGTAAAGTAGTCACCACTCAAAGCTCACTCCTGTGATGGACTACAATCTCATGTTTAGTTTATTAATTTGTACTGAGATTGTAGTCCATCCCGGGAGCGAGCTTGGAGCGGTGACTACTTTACAACACACACAGAGACCATGCGGAACAAAAGTAGCCCCCCCCCAGAAGGAAGGACAGTGTCAGCACCAATTCAGAGATGATTTGAGGATCTACAGCCGAGTGATAAACAAATAAGATACATTTATGTTAATAGTTAAGGTACTTGTATGTATATTTACGGTTTAAATCCCGAGTTTAGTGTCATTTTAAAAGCATAAACAAAACAGTGAAGGGACGACCTGAATCTATTCAAGGAGACAACTTAGTTGGAGGGGAAAGACAGCCACCACCCACTGCCATTTTCAATTATACCTTTCCCTTGGAGACTCAGAACATCAATACAGACGATCAATGGATTAAGAGTGAAATAGGACAAAAAAAAAGTAATAAATCACACAAAATATACTCTTCAAATCCATGGATGTTGGTCAATGACATTAAATTTTGAAGAAAAAAAAATAAGAGCAACAATGCTAGTTTCTTTGCGCACCAATTTGGCTTTAACATGACAGGTCCAAAAAACGAAACAGTTGAAAGAACAGCTTAATACAAAAATATACGGTAGTATTCGTAAACACCCTTTTTTTTTTGAGACTCACGAGTTTCGGAATGTTTTTCACCAATTCATTTCAACAGACCTGAAAACAATCTAATCAAACCCGAATAAAATTATTTAAAAATTAGCTTTAAAATGTTTAACCTCATCAGTGCAAATGTCATCTGCAAAAGATTGCAGAGTAGGTATCAGATTAAAATCAATGTGTGCTGTCCCACTACCTGCTAATGATTTATGTATTGAACAGTAGAAAAACTCCCCACTGGCTATAGAAAAACATGAATTTACAGTAGAATTTGTTGAATTTCCAATCACACCTTGGTTATTTCTAACATTAAAAATGACATTATTGCAATAATTACATAAATTGTACAAAATTGTAAAAAAAAATAAAAATGGAAACTCCCAAACCACCTTTCCTGATGATACACAGGGGATTAAAATGTGTGCTTTAAAGTTCTACAAAGTATCTATATAAGTTAATGCTTACACACACGAGTTTCATTTACCAGTCCGCTTGTGCAAATTCAATGTTCAAATGAGTGCAAATTAGTTGTTATATAAATAGAATATTTGTGACCTAGATGCATATATGTGTAGGATTCATGACCTGACAAGCGTGTTTAAAAAAATACAAAAAAAATTTCAGGAAGAATGGACGATTAAAAAAAAAAAAAAGGACCAATCACTTATAGGATGTTAATCATGAAAACGGACAAAACCTGCATATGCTGGAAAATACTAGGTTAGGATGAAATTCATTAATACAGTTTTTGTGTATTAGCCCCACAAAAGTACTGTCTTCAGAAATGTGGTGTGTCGTTTCTTGGCAGCATGAGGGCGTTAGGCTGTCCTGGATTCTGGGAGTACTGTGTACCCAACACCCGCTCTGCAGGAACATCGATTTACATTTCTGTACTAAACTTTCAAAATACAGTGGTACCTCGGTTCACGAACTTAATTCGTTCCATGATTCTGGTCGCGTACCGAATCAAACTGTGATCTCGACTAGAGGAAAATTGTAGAAATGTCACCAGCACACCGGTCCTTTTAGGATAGCAAAAGCTTCATTTATTGAAGTTCTTTGTCATATGAACAAGCGCTTTTTCATATGACAAAGAACTTCAATAAATGAAGCCTTGGCTATCCTAAAAGGACCGGTGCGCTGGTGACATTTCTACAATTCTGCTGATATTTGCGGTGCGAGCATCCCCCACTACAAGGGACTTTTTGGTAAGGAGTGCAACAAGGATAGTATTTTTTCCCAGACTAGAGGAAGCCACGACCATGTGTCAGAGCGGAGAAGGTGGCTGCGGATGTGTTCGTCACCCGATGCAGAGTTCGCAAACGGAAGCAAAATTTTGCCGAACTTCCTGTTCGCGAACAGAAGCGTTCGTGAACCGAGGTGCCACTGTATAGAATAGCCAAGTTTGTGATATAACATGTAGTTATACAGTTTTCAAATCATCCCTATCGATTTTTTTTCGAGCTGATCTCTGGTCAAGTGTAATTTTCTTTTTTTTTACGATTACCCAATCCTCTGAACCCCACCTTATTCCTACCTCTTTTCTGCTCATAGAAATCCCATGCTAATATCTGGGTGATGTATTTTCACATCCCAGCACCCCAATCTTTAGCTTCAAGCACCACTTGAAGCAAATGGGGTCATGCTCTGCACAGCTAAGTTGGGGAAGGGCATGTGAGGGGTGTTTAGGTAACTGATTAACCAATGCAGTTAGCTTGCATGGCAGCATTAAGATGTGCACCACAAAAAGGCCGGGGGACTTGCTTCAATTGATATTTTTTTCTGCATGGACAATAGATTTAAAACAAATCTTATAAACGGATTAATTTGACACTGCCAGCTGCATAATTACGATGTACTGCTACAGCCATAAGGTAAGGCCAGGGACAAGTACAGCAGCTATAATTCCATCAGAAAAACTAGGGCAAATAAAGAACAGGACAGCTTTTAGGTCACGTTTTTAGGCATGAATAACAGGACAAATGTAAAATAAAGTTGGGGGATCGTAAGAAACAAGTGTGCAACTCTTTAGAGTGCAAACCAGGAGCGATTTGACACTATCATAAGGATGAAACCTTCTAATATCAAGGTTGCACCACAAAAACTGTACTGAGAATTTGCTTACAACCCTGGCCTCTTTAGCATCGGTTTTAACAAAGACAGTCAATTCTCATGATGTATGTCCTAAATTCACAGCATAGTCAGCCATTTAATGAATTATAATGCAAGCCTCCAAATTCAGTACAAACCTGTGACCACTAAAGAGAAAGATAATACCACCTCTGTCACTGCAGGATAATTACAGAAGTGGCTACTATACGAGCCCTTTTTACCTTATCTTGCAGTTGCGAACTGACTGGCTATATTCTAAAGGACATTGGTCCAGCTCACAAAATGGCTGCTTACACAGTAAGTGACAAGTCCATTTTAGAACTGTTCTAAAACAAGAAGGATCAAATGGAAGCCCATAATTTCTATCAGCTGTTTAACAAAAGGAACTCAAAAATCTATAAATTCTACCAACACAAATAAAATTGTTTTCTTTTTTGTGTGTGTGTGTGAGTGTGAGAAACGGAAAAAAAAATAGGGTGGGGGAAAGCCATTGGAATAAAATGCAAACATAGGTGTGCCTGATTTCTGCTACAGTACAAGTGCTTGTGCATCAAGTATTAAATGCAATGCTTATCACAATGACGTGTCTTCTAGATTAAAAAAAATTTAATGGAAAAAAAAAGAAAAGATAAATAAGGCACTGTACTTTAACAACATTCACTGATTCAAAGAAAAAAAAGACCTAAATAACTTACTTTGAGCACCAAAACAAAACAAAAACCCTCTAAAAACTATACACTTCCCTTCCCCATACTCCAAGCTTTATGATTCCTACAACAGCATGGTTAACGGTAGGTTTGCTACAGTTTAAAAATGAAAACAAAAAAAAAGTTCACAATTAATGCAAAGTTATAACTGTACAACATAACACAGGTAACCATTTTAGTTTCTCATTTTAATTCAAGTGATCATCTCCTGCTTTGTGTGGAAGAGTCTGTTTGTGACCTGCTTATTCTTTTCTCAGCGTGCTGAGCTTTTTTTGCCGTTTTAGACCCAATACACAACTTCCTTTGACATTCCTTCATCCATGGCTGTGATACCCTAGTGATTCTCTGTTCTGACAGGACTGGGGAAGCTAGTCGCAGTTTTGATGATCTTGTCTGACACTTCCGAACGACAAGTCGTGTTTTGTTGGGTTTTTTTTGCATAGCAGTTTTTGTTTTCCCTTTCTTTAAAGTGGCTGCCTTACCCACTTGAGCTTTCACCTCTTGCCTTTTTGGAGCCTGGGATTTTGAAACGGTGGCTGTTCTTTCAACTTTGTGCGCTGTTTTTTTTGTTGGTAGTGCGGTTCTAATATTACTGTGCCTATTTTTATCCAGCTGTTGTTTTATTTCGGTCTTTCTTCTTTTAATTGTCTGTACACCTGGCTTTGTTGAATGGTCATCTTTGGGACGTTTTCTAGCTTTCTGCTTTTCACCAGCGGCGACAACTTTACAGACAGGGAGATTTGCAGCAGTCTGTGAATTCATTTTTGAAGGTAATCGCTTATTGTTTTGCACGAGGTCAACGTTTGTTGACGAATTTTGTGCCGTGGATGTTTTGCTTTTTTTATTTAATGGTGTTTTTATTTGATGATGTAATTTTTCCTTAAAATTATTGTACTTACTTAGGTTTCGGGCACTAGTAGGTTTATCTTTTGGTCCTGAGCACCTGGAGTCACTGGCTCCTTTTACTGAGACTTCTGAAGTCTCAACAAGCTGTACTTTGTTGTCTGGTTCGATGAGTGCATTTTGAGTTGTGGCATTATTAAGCGCTGGATATGCAGAAGCAAATTTCTTCAGGTGTTTTTTCAAGCGTTTGGCTTGCAGAATGTGAGGATATAAACTTGCGCTTGAATGTTTCTGCGAAGGCAGAACAGGAAGCTGATGTTCTTCAGGAATACGGGTATTTATTTTCTTGACAATCACCAAAGATTTGGTTTCCGTTGTTTCCAAGAACCATCTACAAACATCAGATAATTTAAAAGAGTTCTTAAAAAGCATTTGCATCGGAGAATATCTCTGGGTGTCTTCCACGGTTTTGACTTTCCGCACCCGTTTCTTGGTTTTCCATATCTCTTTTAATTTGTCTGCTTTATTTTTAGACTTTGGGGCAAGGGACACATCTTTCTCTAGTGGAATCCAGTTATTGTGAACGGAGGAATATTTGTTATTAAAGGTGGAGATACGTTCTTGGCTTTCCTCCTCAAAACACCAGTCTATAAATTTTGGTCTAACCTTTGCTTTATCTTTTGAACGATGTAAAGAAATGTCCATGTTAGTAAATGCACGAGATATATTACATTTTGAAGGTTGCCTCCTATTTTCTGCAGAGGGGGGTTCCAATATTGTTGCTTTATTAAGCTTCTCATTATCCTCCGTCAATGGGTTTAATGCAGCACATTTTGTTTTACTCCTTGTTCGAGCAAAAGAAACGGAAGCATCTGCTGGCTCCTGCTTACTAATTTTTTTACATTTAAATGGACAATTATTTTTTAAAACACCTGGACTGCAGCTGATTTCTTCATCTTCAACCTTTATGCAATTTTTGCTTTTTGAACAAAAATATACCTTTCTCTTACCAGAGCTCATTTCAAAAGTTATGTTCACATTTTCTACCGTCTTCGCAGTAGAGGAAATCGTATTTTTGAACATTCTTTCAGAAAGTAATGCTTTTTCTTCAGCAAACTGGTCGTTTAAAAATTGTGCAAAGCAATTTTTACCATCAAGACTTTCTTCAAAATTTGACTTAACCCGCATTAATCGTCCGTGCTGTGTAGTGCATTCAGGACTAAACACCACAGACCTATGGGATGATTTAGTGCTTGACAATTGAGAGATCTGAATGTGAAGAGAAGCCTTCTTCTGTGCGCATGCATCCGTTTGAGTTTCAAGACTTCTAAGACGTCTGTCAGATGGAATAGGAGCCTTTTTAAGCTTTCTTTTGGATGAAATAGGGATTTTATCATTTGTATTATTGCCTGGTAAAAGACTGTGCAAGGTGTCTGGTTTGATTACATCAGAATTGTTTTCTCCATTTATCTCTTTGGCTTGTGAAGATTTCTCTTGATCACCAATATTTGCATGTTCACATGAAGCAAGATTAGGACACTGAACATCTTGATAGGGGACGGACCTGTGAGTGAGCTGGAGGTCACTTGGCTCACAAATTTTAGCACATGTATTTAAAAGATGATTAATATCTTCAGTTGAGATCCCATCAACACGGTTACCAGTTGTTGAACAATTTATTACTTCTGAAGGCTCTGCAGTTTCTACATTTTGTAATTCTAGTTTTTCTGTAGGCTCCACATGAACAGCACATTTATCTGAATAGTGTTGTTCTATGTGGTCTTCATCAGTTTCCTTTGCACTTGTAACACTTGAACTGTCTTTAACAATCATTGTAATATTTCCTCCCAGATTATTCAGACGGTTATAACAATTTAGATTTTGCTGTAAACAATCATTACTTGAGTCTTCAAAAGTTTTTTCTATTATACCATTTGCACCGGTGTCTGAACTTAAATACGGAGGTGAAAAGTCACGATCCTCAAGCATCACTCCAGAATTCTCAACAGTGTTGGAAATTTTTTGACACGGGAAGGAATTGGGAGTAGTTGGTGCAATCCCACCAGTCTCACTTTTGTCTGAGCCTGGAAATACAGAACAGCTAATGGAAGTGGAAACACTTGAGTTTTCTAAAGGAACATTAATTTTTTGAACTGTTGGCTTCTTTAAAATTAATTTATTAGCAGCTACCTCGTTTGCATTATTATGCTCAGAAAGTACAGTCTCATCTTTTAAAGACACAATCAAGTCCACATCTAGTGACGTCAGGGTTGCATTTTTTTCCTCGTTAACAGAAAGACTGGGGTAGGTAACTTCAGATGGATGCTTTTCATGGCAGTCGCCATTTATATTGCTGACATCCAGTGGAATATCCCCTTGCTCCACCAGGATATCAACAGATTTCTTCTGCAAAATTTCATTAGCAGGATGAGGTCCTGAGAAGGTTGGATTTTCATTTCCATCATGTACAACAGAGAAAACAGCTAGCAAAGAGTCTGAAACTGCATTCACTGACTGTTCCACCATACTTGAAATGTCATCAGTGTTACCAGATTCTTTGCATATAGATGGGTCTGGGATTATATCACTTTGTGGTAGAGCGTTACCAGTACCTATTCCCACACGTGTCTCTTCTGAATGGACCAATGATACAGGATCAGTAAGAGGTAGTGTTTCGGTAATAGCTCCCTCAGGAATAATTAATGCTTCAGCAAAACGTAATGCGCAATTCCCTTTGTCCTCAACTTTAGAGCTTCTGACCAATGTACGAACAGTGGACAACTGGCAGCATTCATCATTGAAAAGATATCCCCTGGTGCTTTTCCTTGCTGTGTTTCGTGAATAAAGAAAAGATTTTTGATGCTGAAAGTGGTATTGCGCTGTGATTGGTTCACTAATGTAAACTACATCACACTGATGATCACAGTCACTTTTTCTCAAACTAGGGGTATTTTTACATCTTTTAACAGTTTTCGAATGCTTTATATTTTCATGTGATCTTATTTTATGGAAAGGAGGCACAGTGCTGTCATTAAGAGTCTGAAAACTCTCAAAATGATTTCCAAGTTTTGTTACAACTACAGTATGTACAGAATTTTGTTTTAATTTACAGTCGCCATCTTTCTCCAGATTTGCCTGCCTGGGACTAATGCACTGTGCATTTTCTTTGTCTGCGCATTTAGGTAGGTTAATAAGAAATTCAGCTTCCTGAGCACTGCTTACTGGAGTCAATGTTAAGTTACTGGGCGAGAGAACACAACAATCTGAAAAGTCAGTCTGCAGAGGTTCCAATTTTATAGTGCACCCCGTCTCATCTGATTGCAGCAGTTGAGAGTTTTCCTCAGTCGGTTTAATGTGCAAGATATGGTTTTTTGCAAAATGTTCTTCTAGATGGCTTGGAGAGTGAGAACAATTGTTTAAAAAACGAATCTCTGTGACAGAATTCTTCCCGACGTCTAACATAACTGGAGATTTTAAAATATCTATATTCTGTGCCACTTCCCTGGGGCAGGTTTCCATGTCTGCGCAAACTGCAGCAGTATTTATGGAGGTCTCTATGCTAGTTGAATGTATACTTGTTTCCTTTGTACACCGTTCAGAAACACAATGGCTACTGTCTTCTAGGTTAGCATCCTTGACATGCAAAATACAGGCACTTTGACTTTTGGAATTCATGAATGGCTCTTCAGTGCACAAACTATTTAACACAAATATAAACTGCTTTTGATGATGTGCACACAATTTAACCATGAACTTTTCCAGTGTTAAGCTTGTGGAACTGCAGTTTTCTGTTTTCAGTGTGCTGGGAAGGGAAGAAAAACAAAACAAAAGTTAGAAAAGCAATTACATGCTGCTTTCTTGTCAACACATTCCTAACACATTCTTCTAAAGAGATATTACACTGCTCCAATGCTCTACAAATGTTTATAAAGGAGTACAAGGATTTAACCTGCAAGGCTTCAAGTTAACTTAATAAATGATTCCTTGAACATTCCAGAATCAATTTTACTCTGCTAAACAAACGTGACAACCCCAGAGCCAGAACATAATTCTTTTTTTTTTTAATGCAGTGAAAAACCTCAGGGCATCTGTAAAAGGGAGGCCAATATATACTGAGAACACTTAGGACTGGCCTAATTATTGTACACTGACAGAGTTGGAGGCCAACAAGAGAACGTATTGTAGTGCAACAATCGTGGACATAATTGGTTGTGCCATTTACAAAGTACATAGGGCATAAATCTCCTTACTTCATGATTGTTGCACTCCTTAGCCGTGCTACATAGTCTTTAAAAACTTGGACAGTAAAAACATCTATGTTAATAGGCAACACAGAAAAAAATCTGATGGAACTGAACACATACATGTACAAAAGCATGGATCTCAATTGGATCACCTAAAACCGTACAGAACAAAAGCCACCATTTCCTATCTGGCACTAAGTGCTAAAGGGTCTCTTTGCCCAAAAACAGAATTTTCAGTTATGGAAAGGTGTTGGTTGGCCAAATCCCATAGTGGTTTCTTACGCCTCCAGGGAACTCCTTCAGTAAGGTTTGGCCTTAAATGGAGTCCCATCAACCCTGCAGCAGGATTTGAGCTGCAAAGTCAATTAAAGAAGCAATAGACTCCTCTGTAATGACCAAAAAAAAGGAGGGCAGGGATGGGATCTCTTGAAGGAAACCTGTAATAAACATGTAGGTCATTACTGCTGACATCCTTGTGAAAATATTGTCTCTGGTTTTAATACTTTCAGGCCAATGCCTGTAATTTCATGGAGACACCATCATATAAACTTAAAAACTGCTGTTTGCATAGTAGCATGGCTAGACAAAACCTAGGAGCCAATGTACGCAATATAGCAAAAGTGGCATCGGTCATCAATGGAAGCACACATGCGTACCAAAACAGTTGTTTGAGAACAAAGCAGTACTCATTTCATCCCTTAAACCAGGCGCCCACAATTTTTCGTCTGGTGATCTACTTTTTAAATGACGAGCTTAATGAGATCTACCAACGAAAAAACACCTGCATTCAGGGGCGTGGCGGTGCATTGAAGTCAATGGCACAGCAGCCAGGCCCCTCGCCCGCAGTGCGATCGCCTGGACCTGGAACATTAGTGCCTGCGTTCCAGTCCAGTGCAATCCCACACTGTGGGCGGAGGGCATGGCTGCAGTGCCATTGACTTCAATACAACACCACGCCCCTCCATCGCTTACATCCCAGTGCGTCCTAGAGGCCCCGGTGTCCTGTCCTCCTGCGGTGCTCGTGTGGCTGACATTGCACATGGGGAGAGGTGTCCTGCCCCATTCCATCTGCTGCGTCTGATTCTGAATGGGGAGGAGCCTCTGTACAGAGTGCTTCTCCCCATTCAGAAACTCAAGAATGAGCAGGAAGTGATGTAAATCACATCCTTTTCATTCATAACTGGGGACACATAGTACTATGTGTCCCCAGTTATTTACAAACACTGGAGTGCTGATCGCTCCAGTGTTTGTCCTGCACAGAGGATCGAACATATCACTAATATGTACCGATCTTCTGCCGCTCGGCCACGCACACTGGGGCTCAGTTTCTCCTCCGGATCTCCCAGGCAGAACCTGGCAGAGGGTCTCTCTCTCCTCACCGCCCTGCCTTAGTTCTGTGACAGCGGCTACGTCCCCCCCCCCACAGCGGCTCATTTACTTCTCCTCGGATCCCCGCTGCAT